AGTCCTCGACCGAGTCAGCTTCCCGGTACACTGCTCCCGGAGTAAGTATATCCTCATCTTCCAAGGATTCGTCTGAGTCCCCTTCCTCCTCACGAGGTTCAGGCGCCAATTTGGGACACACCGGCAGAGCAGGCATCTCTAATGAGAGCCTGATATCAGGCATTCCAGGGCTCACTGGGCAATGGAATGTCTTGTGCTTACGCCCCATAATGTCGTCTGGTGGGAGGTATCGGGTAACTGCCCTTTTGGAACTCTAAGTGTAGATAAAAGAGTTTTATTTTAGATTCTGGTGTGGAGCTCCTTCAAGACATGTCTATGCTGTAACTCGGTGGGTCACGCCCCCGCATGAAATTCACCTTTCTAAACTCTTACAGGCTAACAAATTCTGTGACTCTAGGTTGAGTAATAATACACAAAAATACAACTAGGTTGAGTATTTTAAAAATGAACAGATAATTATTTAACTGACCATGTAACAAACAAAACCTAAAATTTACCCTCTCTCGATAGTCAAGATTACATAAAGATTTTTATTTTTAACTAGGATCTTCTCTGTAAGTGAAGCAGTTGTTACTTTCAATTAGTTTTTATTTTGTCTTCTTTACAATGGATTACTAACATCTATATTTTTTTTAATTGTAGTGTGTTGATTATAATTGTGGTAATAATACCAATATCTTATGCATTCACAAAACAGAATTAAAGGTAGGAGTAGGACAGATTAGCTCATTTTACACCAATTTCTTGTAATTAGAGAATTCTGACTCTCTGCGTAACAGTCGAGTCTGTCAATTCATCCTACTGGTCTTCAGAGAGATGGAAAGAGCTACGAAAGACATCAAATGATCCTCATCTGTGATATAAATGTCTACCAGAAATTCACCAAAGAAGTCATTTCGGATATTTCACAATGTATATTTTATTCCATTAAAATCTCAAAGTTTCTTCTATCTAAATGTTTTTTTTGCTTGCTATTTTTTTGGCTGAGTCATGAAATAAATCAATAGCTGTTGAACTGGATTAATTAGCAAAAGTCAGATTATTTATTTTGTTTTTACAGTCTTTTGGCTACAGTGATCTCGAAGAAAATTCCAGATTGATTAGTGCTGTGTGCGAATCGGTTTCCGTTTAGCTGGACTGACGCCAACGTCTCTGCAATTAGCATATTGCCAATTTCTATCACTAGTTAACTCTATTGGATATCTGTTCTCCCTAATAAAATGTCATGCCAGGTAAAATGACGATAAATCAATTAACCACTGCATTCAACTTTTCTACATCCAGAACTTGCAACTTAAGGAAACTACATCTATCCAACAAAGTAATTATTTCAGAAAAACAATATAGAGTTTTATATACATTTGGAAAAGATGCAGTAATCAAGATTCAAGACACTTTAGTCTTAATTTTGCCTGTGTTTGGCATTTGGTAGATTTTATATTTTATATATTAAGTTACTTACATGCGTCGTTTACTTGCCAAGCTTGTAAAACAGCTAAGTATCCACTGAAAGGTTGAGAGAAGCTTGAAAGGATTTTAGTACCAGTTTTTATTTAGTACATCGGAGCTGGCTCAAAAAGCAGCCATTTTCCTTGTCTCCACTCCCACAATTCTCATGACACGTTTTATTCTATTTATTGAGTTTCTGATATTGTTAATGCCATGGTGAATGTTTTATTCAACAAATGTAACTTTTTAAACATATTGATTTGATGTAATTCTGTCGCTTTATCTATACCTGCCTCGAAAAACTCAGTCACGTGACTTCGCAGCTGGAAAACATTGGATTTATTGCTTTCCTATGAGAAGCATTTGATGCATGCACAACACTTGCCGCGCATGCACATCCAGTCCCCAATGTTTCTGTATGAGGAGCATTGAAGTGGACCAGGGATTGAGGAAACAACACACCTTTAATGACGTAGCACGCAGGCAGAGAAGTTAGCAGCCACATGGTAAAAATAAGTAAAAACCCTTTTTCAATTTTTTTTTTATTTTTTTAAATGTATTATTTTTGTAGTGCATGGTTGAACAAACAAGCTTGTGCTGCCACAACAGCAGATGCAAGTGAATAAAAGTGCACAGTATAAACATTTTTGTGGCATGCAATATCGGCACAATTTTTGTTATTAGTCCTGCTAGGTATATATATTTAGGACGCTGGCTTAGTAAATGCGGTAGATACATTAGCTTTGGTAGTGGGTAACTAGTGAGAGACAGTATAGTAAAACAACTGAGCGTAACTGTGTCGGCAGAACATGTATGGTGTACTGTATGTGCTATGTGTGCTAGACCTCCCGTGATATGTGGCAGGCATATATGGTATATGATGGAATAGGCACATAATCTGTAGGCTGGAACTAGTTACGCCCGCTAAGCAGGTTAGGTTACATGGCTGGTATGCAATAACGTTAACTAGAATGAAATAAACATGTTTTGATAATTATAGGCTGATTCAAGGGTGAAGATAGTCACTGTAGTCTGGGGTCTTCTCGAGTGTCATGCTGCCCAGTACAGTCCATGTTCTCACTTGTGTGGCAGGGCAGGACCCAAGAGAGTGCGTGGTCAGGTTGCGCTGAGGTCAGAGGGCCGTGGGTCGAGTCGCTGTCAACCGATGCCTTCTTTCATGTAGCGGCAGGGGCCTGCCTTCCAGTGGTCCGCTGCTGCGCAGGTGTGAGTGAGAGTGTCCCTCAAGCCCCAGGCTGGTGTGCAGGCCTGCATCTCATGGCCACATACTCAGCCCCTTCTGGGGCCCGAGTATACTCCCCGTGCAGGAATGACGGAGGATCTGGTGGTCAACTGTCACTTGTGGTGCTTGTGCCTCCGGGCGTGTGGGTGATGCTTTCGGGTTTTCAGCCCTGTGGTCTGCAGCCCGGGTGGGATAGGAAGATCGTGGGTGGACAGATGTGGTAGATTTGTGCCCAAGTGTCTTCCCCACACCTTTTGCCGCCTGCGGTTCTGCACAACTGCTGTCTGTATTTCAGGCATGTCGGTTTGGGCTGCTAGTTGCCATTCTCTTAGTGTGTCCCAGAAGCGGTTAAAAATCACCTCCAGATGCTGCGAGAGATCCGACTGTTGCTGGTGTGTCGGCAGCATTTCCTGCTTGTACAGTACGCTGTCAGCTGCCATCTTGGAAGCACCATGTGGAGCTTCCTCCGTGGCTTGGGTTCAGGCTTGTGTGGAGCTCCTGTCTGGCTGCCCCAGATGTCCAGTGAGGACCGGGATAACCCCCGCTGGTCCATGGGTGGGGGGTTAGGCAGTAAGTGTGGGAGAGCGGCCGTCTCTCCCTGGCTCGGTCACGGATAGGCCCCATTTGTTTTTGCGGGTTCCCGGGCAGTATATGTCTCATTTTTTGGGTTCATTTGTTGTTCTTGGGTTTCCCCGTCGTCTCTCATGCCTTCCTGCTGGTGATTGCACCGATTTGCATGGATTAAGTCGCTTTTGTCGGGAGCTGATGCCCGTTGTGTCTTTCCAGCTCAGCACTTAGGCTCCGCCCCTCTTTTTCAACTATTTTTATGGAAACATCGAGGCAGTGCTGAATATAAATGGGGACAAGGGCACTGTAAAGTTAGGGATACAGGTTTGTATTTAATGTCTGCACAATACACAGTGATGCATGATTATTGTAATTTGAGAGTTGCAGTTGTGTTATAGCTGTCTTACTCTGAATTCCGTTATAAGTTATACTCTGCAAGCTTTCAAACACTGTCCTCTGCGTTGCAGTATTTTTCTTTTGTTTTTTTCTTTCAATTGTAGTTACCATTTTATCCAAGTAAACCAGCTTTACATCCCTCTTCACAACCAAGTTGATCTCATTATAAAATATAACATTGTTTTGAAGCAGGCAATGATAGGATTAATTCATGTATAGACTGAGATTATTGTTTTGTTTTACCCCATTTATTTTATTTTTATTTTTTTTAAATCTTTTACAACACCTGGAATATATTTTCAGGGTCTGAAATATTGGTATAGAAACAGAAATACTATTTTGTGAGTTTCCTATGAATAATCTATATAAAGATAATGTCTGTTTTGTATGTGTAATGGTGGCCACTTGTAGGACATACAGCACCAAGGGTCACAAACACCACCTCTCCCAGGCAGGCAAGTAGCTTGTTCTATGGGTGAAAGGGTTAAAAAAACACAATCACTTGTCTGCACTAGATGAAAAGGATAACAAAATATCCCGCTTGCAATGCCCCGACTGCAGTTACAGGCAATTTGAAAACAAGCATAAGTTAACATTTGCATGGCATTCAGAGTAAAGCACAACTTTATAAAATTCATAAGACAAGCTGAATACAGGCTAACTATGTATGACTGTTGTGGTGGGTCACGTTGTGATCATCCAGCTTGAGACAGTGAACATATAGTGATTCGTAAGTGTGTAAGAGTAATTAGAGGCATTCAAACATTGCCTAACTAGCTAGACACATCTGCTCAAGTGGCTAAAACAGGACTTTACCAAGAATATAAGACATGGTAATGAAGCAGTAGTTAGAGACCTGTTAGGTATAGACGGCCAGTGTTGCCTTAATTCAGGAAGTGTTGCACTGCTGGTAATCATAAGTGATAAACAACCAAAAGATGCATGGGGGCACAGTGTCATATATATATCGCGATGTCATGAGTCATGTCAGGCTGGCTGTTCCGATCCGCCTGGAAAGCAGTCATCTAATACCCTGGCTGGGTTCAGAACGTCCGCTTGGGTACAGTTTATGAGGGTGGGTGGCCTTGTATAATCGGTGTGACGCGACTCTCCTGCCTCCGGTCTGAGATGGGACCAGCATCACGCTGCTGCGAGCTCGGTATCTGCTGGAGGCCGAGGTCTTTCCTGCCGGGTTGGTGCATAAGGTTCTGCGTGTTGCTCTCTTCCGCCAGCGTGTTCTGTGTCCTGGAGTTTACCTTTGTTTGGCCCGAGGTTTAGGAGGGCTTGGCTTAGGGGAGGTAGGTGCCTTCGGGGATATTTTGACTGTGTGGGGCCCCAGAAATCTTACCTCACGATGTTGCGGTATTTCAGGCATGGGTACAGTGTCCACCACATGCAGCCTCCTCCTTTCTTCCAGTGCAGCCCAAAAGTGGTTAAAGATCGCTTCTAGTTGGTCTCCGATGTTATTGTGAGACCCAGTGAGGTTCGCATTATGTGGCGCTCGATCTTGTGGCTCCTTGATGTGTGCGTCCGCCATCTTGTTCGGCCACTCGGCCCCCTCTGTGCAGACTTATTTGGAGACCATTGTGGCTTGGAAAATGCAGCTAAAGGACGGCAGCAGTGGGTTGTGTGGACCGGGATGGCCCTCAACAATCCTAGGGGGAGGGTACAGGATTCGGCCGCAATATAACCCACCGGCCCCGCTGTGAAGGTCGGCCGCCACTCCCAGCTGGGACTGTGCTAGGCCTCAGTTGCTCTGGACCTGTGATCTGTCCCAGTATGAATCAAGATTGGGCGAGCTGTGTTCTCAGTGTTCCCCGGTATGGAGGGAAGTCTGTTGCAGGTCAGTATCTGTCGGTTAGCAGGTTTTAGAGCGAAGTATGCGGGGAGCCCTAGTTCTATGCGACCGTTCAGCTAGATGCCAAGCCCCGTCCCCCAAAATATCTCTCTTGCAACCCACACCTATTCTAGTATAAAAGCTGCCACCACCAAGACTATTTATAAACAGGGTGCTTTACAGTGGCGTACTAAGGGGGGGGGTGGGGGGGCGGTCCGCCCTGGGTGCCACCAGGGTGGGGGGTGCCATGACCAGCCCCGCCGCCGCCCCCCCCATGCTGCAGCCGCCCGAGCGCTCTGTAGAGAGCCTCAGGCGGCTGCAGCTTTTCCCGGGCGGTGCGTCCATGAGGGCGGACCGCACCGCCCGGGCGCAGCCTGAGGAGAGGGGCTGACAGGAGGGAGCGCTCAGCGCTCTCTCCTGTCACTCCCTCTGTAGTAGCGTGGCCGAGCCCGGCAGCATGATAGTCCGCGGGTACAGGAGCAGCTGTCTCCTGTACCCGGCCGGACTAACAGGAAGTGCACACTGAGTGTTCACTTCCTGTTAGTCCGCCGGGTACAGGAATAAAGGCACCAGCTGACTATACTGGCCTCGGCCACGCCACAGGAGGTGGTGGGAGGGGGGTGAGAAAGAGGGAGAAAGGGGGTAAAGTGAGAAAGAGGAGAAAGGGGTGAGAAAGAAGAGAAAGGGGTGAGAAAGAGAGAAAAGGGGTGAGAAAGGGGAGAGGGGGGGGGAGAGAAATTGAAATTAGGAGGGGGAAGAGATATTAGGAGGGGGGGAAAGAGAAATTGGAGCAGGAGGAGAGATTGACATTCATCACATACACACAATGCACCCCTTGCACACAGAAAAACACACAATGCATTACACACACATACACAAGCAATGCAACCGTTACACACAATGCATCCCTTACACACACAGAAACACACAATGCATTCATTACACACACTCAATGCACCCCTTACACAAATTCAACGCATCCCATACATACACAGAAACACATCTTGCAGCCCTTACACATACAAACACAATTTCACACAATGCATTCCTTACACACATATCAGGACAGCCCTTACACACTCCACCCCCTGTGAACAAACTCATTGGTGGAACATGAAGGTGGACCCTGGGACCCAGACCTTGAGCTGTGTAAAGGACCCCCAAAAAATGGAGCTGCTTCCCGTTCTACCAGAACATTGATTTTTGTGACCACAGTTACAAACCGCCTCTAGAGAGCCTGTTCTGCACCAGACCAGTGGAGCCAAACTGCAGCTAGAGCCCATCATCATCCTCATCTGGTTGTAAGTAGGCAATCTAGTATATTATTCGTGGCACTAAGCTCTAATTTACCTCACATTAGAGAAACACTATAGTCCCCAGAACCACTTCAGCTTAATGTAGTGGTTCTGGTGTCTATAGCCTGTCCCTGCAGGCCTTTTAATGTAAACACGGCGGCACTGCAGCACTGGCGTTAGTTAACATGGCAAATTATATGGCTGGGGCATTGTGATGTCACATGGGGGCGGCAAACTTTACTTTTGCCTAGGGCGGCAAAAATCCTTGTACCGGCCCTGGCTGGAGGGGGCTGTGTGAGCTGTGGCCGCACAGTGTCCCATGGTAGTTAGGGTGCCGTGCGGCCAGTACAGCTCACTCAAGCAAACAGCTGATAAACTGGCCGCATGGAGGAAATGTGTATGTGTGACTGTCTGCCTGTGACTGTGTGTGACTGTCTGCCTGTAACAGTGTGTGACTGTCTGTCTGTAACTGAGTGTGTGACTGTCTGCCTGTAAATGTGTGTGTGGGGCTGCAGGGATTTTGTAGAAGGGGGCGGGGGTTTTGTATTGGGACAGGAGTCTTTATAAGGGGGGATAAGCAGGGGATTTGTGGAAGGGGGTTGCGGGGGTTTTGTAGGAGGGGCGGGGCATGACAAGGGTTTTGTAGGAGGGGCTGACAACGGTTTTGCAAAGTTTACAAATCGTAAAAAAAAAGAAAGAAAACCTTTAAAATTTTTTACAGGTTTTTTTGGGAGGGTGCCAAGCACAGGATCCGCCCCGGGTGCCAAATGCTCTAGGTACGCCCCTGGTGCTTTAGGATACCTCAACCAAATTAGTTTAAAAACTCACAAAACATTATGCAGCAAAAACATCTATGAAATCACCGTATTATGTTTTTATTATGATTCGTATTATTTTCAGCAACATGATTCTTATCAGATAAAGGCATAACTTAAACATGTATTATCAACAAAAAAAGTCATAGTGCATATTTTTATATAGGTTAATACACTAACAAACACATAATATGGGAGAAAATTAACAGAAAACCTTAATACTTACTGTACTATCAAAGTACCTGTCATTCCGTCGTTCATGGTTAGTAAAATGGAAATCTGCTACCAATTCAGTCTGGCTCTTAACATTGATTAAACATTTCTTTAGGTTTCATTATTGTTATATACACATTGCTTTCTTCTCATCTCAGATTCTAGGCAGCCACTTCTGAGGGGAGCAAGGGCTGTAGGAATTCTAGTTTTTGAGAGTTAATTCATGTATTCCAAAATCTGGATTAATATGCACAATATAATATATTTTTATACAGGTGTTTCTTTGTAACTAGGGGCAATAATCTCATGTGAATACAATTTATTTGGGACCAAACATGATGTTTCATATATAATGCCCCCCACATAAAATAGCATCTACAATCACTTACGAACTTTATGTGAATGACCCCTAATGGAACGTAAAAGATACATTGTAAATGTGGTGTTATTTATAAAGCTCTCTCTCTGACATGGTCTAACATGGTCACGTAATATAGATCACTGGAACTCAAAAATCAGGGATTAGAGTCCTAAACTCCTCTGCAGCATTTGGTTTATGAACTGGGAAATAAAACTGTTTTTAATTGATATACCATTTCAGGTTATTTTCTATACACCAACAAAATTTAACCCATTGCTTCTCAAACACTGTTAACGTCATAAGTTTATTATGGCACCTCTACTGGGTAACCATTCTGAGTGTTCTCTACAAATAGCATATGTAATAGAGCAGCAGGAAATGCTAGCAGAATGATTGGTTGTATAGGGAGAGGTATTAGCGGGTATTGCACAGAACACTGGTGAGACCTCACTTGGAGTATTGTACGTAGTACTGGAGACCATATCTTCAGAAGGATATTGATACCTTAGAGAGAGTTCAGAGAAGGGCTACTAAACTGGTTCATGGATTGCGGGATAAAACTTACCAGGAAAGGTTAAAGGAACTAAACATTTATAGCTTGGAGAAAAGATGAGACAGGGGGGATATGATAGAAACATCTAAATACATAAAGGGAATCAACACAGTAAAGGAGGAGACTATATTTAAAAGAAGAAAAACTACCACAACAAGAGGACATAGTCTTAATTAGAGGGGCAAAGGTTTAAAAATAATATCAGGAAGTATTACTTTACTGAGAGGGTAGTGGATGCATGGAATAGCCTTCCAGCTGAAGCCTTAACACAGTAAAGGAGTTTAAGCATGCGTGGGATAGGCATAAGGCTATCCTAACTATAAGATAAGGCCAGGGACTAATGAAAGTATTTAGAAAATTGGGCAGACTAGATGGGCCGAATGGTTCTTATCTGCCGTCACATTCTATGTTTCTATTTTTGCAAGCAACCATGAATCATGACACTGAACATCTACGCCATAAAGTACATTGCAACCTGCAAACAAATCCCTATATTGTTCTCCATTTGTTGAACCACCATCTTCCCCCTCTTTCTTACTGCCAACATGCAGCTGTGACGTTTGATCTAATTAAGTATTTTGTAGAACAGGAGAGGGAGACAGAGGCAGAGATGCAAATGGGAGTCTGACAGAGCAATTCCTTACTCGGCGTGGTTAAAATAGGTAAATCGTTAAATTACTTTTTGTTTTGCATGCATGTTGCTGGGAGGGAAAGGATATAGACCAATAATGGCATAAATCCATGTATAAACACGGTATGGCGCCTGTCATATGAGGGATACAGAGATTATTTAAAGACGGAATACCCACTTCTTTAGAGCTGCTGGCAGAGGACATCTGAGGACCAGAGTGTGATGACTACAAGAACGAATATTGTCCCTTAAATGGTTAAATGTGTACTTCCTGTTGAATTTTCTACATAATTCTTCCTTTCCTGAACGATAAGAATAAACTCTTATAAGAACATAAATTACGTAAACGCACAGTGATTCGGAGCAATGGTTGCCGAGTCTAAATACTTGATTTGAGCATTATATAACCTCATCACCTTCTGAGACCTAAGGCAAGGAAATGTCAAACCACAGTAAAATCATTTCAAAACACCAGAGTTTGACAACTACAGAGCCGCGTCCTAACGGAAACTGCCTTCTTTATTGGACAGCATGGAGCTCAATAATTCCTAAAATGTAGTAGGTTGAGAAATAGCTCTAACCATTGCCCCAGTGAATGTAACATTATTTAGATATAGATACAAGCTCAAGGAAGGGGTTCCAAAAAATGATAAAGTAATTCTCTATAATGCTGCGGAAAGGCTAGACATACATTTATTTTGTGTAACAGAAGAGGCACCAAAGAGTCTTAGTCAAAGTCAAGACAGACTTATTTTATCCTGGTTGCCTATTAACAATACAAAGTCATGCTTTGGGACTACAGGGAAGGAAGTTTTACATGTAATCCATAGGATGAAACCCAGTTAATTCTTCCCTCTATTGGCATACGATATTTCCTTCCCATGTGGTTTAGCGAGGGGGCATATCAGGAGGTCCATTCTATAGGTTTCATATTGTGAGGGAGAAGAACCGTTGCTGACCTTTGAACACACACATAAATAGACACCATGATATATCTTCACTGTGATACTTTGTGCACAGTGATGAATTGGTGGGTGCAGACCTACCTGTCGTATCCATGATGTAGTTATTTAAAAAATTCTAACACTTAATAACCTCAGTGGTATGTCAGTTTAGGTAGTACCTGCACTACCTTGGGCTTAGCCGTGTAGACAATAATTTAGAACAGCCCCCTAAAGGTATAGACCAGTGGTAGTCAACCTTTTTCTACCTACCGCCCACTAATGCATCTTTCTTGATGGAAGAATTTCCTTGCCGCCCATCAGTTTTCGCACAAGTGCAGAATATTTTTTAGAAAGGAGGGTGTTTTAAAAAAAATAAATGTACGTACATTTATCTTTTTATTTCTACTTTATGCATGTTTATAATGTTTTTAACTTTATAAAGTTTAATGAGAAAACAATAAAGTAAATTTAAATTACCTTTACTAGTGATTAATGAGATCCTTGAGGCTGATGCTGCAAGACTAAATATTTGATATCTGGTTCGATTTTCATAAGGAACAAACGAAGGTCTCCTCTTTCGGTGATATTCAGACAACTTCTTTGTTTGCGCATAATATGATTTCTCATCTGTGCGTCAGCTCATCTCATCTCCCTCCTCAATTCCCCTCCCCACCTTTTTTATCCCTTTTTTCTATTTTTTAACCTTCCTTATAGCAATGCCCAGTAGGAAGGCTTAGCTCGGTAGCCCACTTACTATAGCCCACTGTAACGGCACCCTCAGGCATAAAAGGGTAAAACCACCGTTTAGAAGATCTTCCCCTCCAGAGACACAGGCACAGCTACTGCAGAACACCAATCCGCCGAACAGGAAACCATATGAATGCCGTAAACAGCCGAATAGGAAAAACCATACGAATAGGTTTACACTCCTAGCAGTCAAACTGGAACAGCATACAATAAATCCCCCCAAGAACGAGACAAAGCTCCCAGTTGAGGGTCAAGCAGTGAACAGTCAGAGCTGTGGATTTATTCTGCTTATGTACACATTCTTACACATTAGTACCACCCACAGGGTTTTGGAACACAACCAATAATCACATACAATACACTCAGACACTCCCACACAAATTCCTCCCCTCTGCCTGTGATTCAATTACCTTACACAATGGGTAATGTAATTATAACAAGCAGAGAAATACAAATTTTCCACATTATTCATAACTTGAAAAGTATGCATCACATACTTACATTTTCAGAATCAGCATACTCCAAATACAAACATATGTCAAATTCATACAAATTGGTCCAATGGTTCAAAAGATAGATCGTAGTCCTTTGTGACCAAAGGAAGCATGGCTTTTCTGCCCAAAACCAGTTCCACAGAGTCTTCTATCCTGGAGA